CTTGCATCACACACGGCAAGGTCATCATCGGCGCCTCCAGGTAAACAGGAAAGCATCCACACAACCGCAGAGAAAGCCTTGGATAGTGTCAGGTGGCAATCCCCTTTAAAAATGAAAATTAAAAGACAGAAGGACCGAGCTTGCCAATTCGGAGAGGGTGTGGAGAGCATCCTTGGATGGTGAGGTAGCATTGGTCTTCTTGGGGGGGGGAGGAGCTGTAAACACACACACACACACACACACACACACACACACACGTTTGAGAGCTGACTTCTCCTGAGATGCGAAGCCATAAACCGTGATTTCCAAAGCACTAAAGGTAGTCCTCGTTTGATAACTGTCCTGTTCAGCAATTGCCCAAAGTTACGGCGGTGCTGAAGAGCAGCTTTATGACCAGTCCTCCCACTTACGACCATTGCAAAGTTTCCAAATCTCAATTGTGTGACGGGACAATCAGCTTCCAATAACCAGAATCAAGAGAGAACTCTGCGGTAAAATTGCAAGCCACCATTGTGTCTTGCTTAGTGACTGCCTCACTTAGCAAGGGAGTTGTTGGTCCCAACCATGTTTGCTGAGCGAGGACTGTCTGCATTCATGCCACTTGTTAAGCCGACTCCAAACAAAGCCACAGGATTTTGCCTTGGCGAAATAGGAACCATAACATACATCATCACCAAGGATGGCCAGGTAACCTGGCCCAAAGGACATCACGTTGGGGCTGTAATACAGCGCCCCCCCCCCCCGGCGGTTTGCCCCTCCCCCAAATATCTTATCATCAGCCAGTCTGAATTCAGGATGTTCCCCTTTTGCTTCTAAGGATTAAGATGTTCAAACAAAGCAAGCTTTGCAAGTAGACTGATCCGCGTGAATCCGATTCGCCTTGCCAGGAATTATCAAGCCACAGAGAAGAATATTTCTAAGTAGGCACGGACGATGGGCACCCCACTGTTAAATCCTGACCCACAACCAGCCAGCTACCGAAAATCCAACCAACCAAGCCTCCTTCTGCAGCGACTCCAAGGGACGGACGCTGCCACCTTCCCAGGTGCTCCAGCTGCTGGCGCTGCTTCTGTTCTTTCTGGGCTTATTTCTCTGGGGGAGGGTCTGCGCCACCTGGCCTCTGGATGTACTGACAGCCCCCCCTCACACCCCCAGCCACTCTCCCAGGCTCATAAAAGATGGAGGTCAGGCCTCAAAGTGCCTGGCATCTGAAGGATGCAGCAATTACCAGGCGGTGGAGACAGGTGCAGTGAGAGATTTATAGGCGCTCCCCAGAAGCGGCAGGCAAGGTAAATGTGCTTGGAGTGGAGGGGGGGGAGGAGGCCATAAATCAGGATGACTCCAGCGCCTGCCCTGCCCTTTACCAGCGAGCCAGGCTGGTGCAGCTGGCGAAGCCTCGGCCCCTCCAGGAATTCACACCTGCCCCCCCCCCAGAGGGATTGCCAAGAGACCTTGAACACATCTGAGTTCAGCACTGGCGTTTAAAACCCCCGGCTGGCTCGCCTCGGTGGCAGCGCACAGGCCCCTCTAAAAGCCGTGAATAATAGACAAGCATCCTTCAGGAATCGGCCGCCATTGAACTCAACCCGTGCCACCCACCGCCTGCTCCGAACGCAGCTATTTTGAGCTCACAGGAGCGAAAGCAGCGGAACTAATAATATATTACCAAATGCAACGGGGAGAGATTCTCTCTTTCTGGCTGCCAGCAAATGGAGCAGAAAAAAAGCGGAAAGCAAGACGCAGAGCATGGATTTTGCCTGCCACGCTTCTCAGGGCTGGGATGTGAATTTGGAGGGGGGGGGAGAGAGGGACCCGCAGGGAGAAAGGAAGCTGAGTCTTGAGCATGGGGAGAAATAAAAAAAGAGCAGAAGAGGAAGATGACAATCTACCAATGGTCAAGGGCCCTTCATCTGCCAGATGGGAGGATGCATTTCGAGGAAAATGGATTAGTTTTGGAACAAGAGATGGTGGGGCTTAGAATTTCCCAAAAGCAAAATAATTCCCAAATCTGAGATGTGTAGACCCCTACCTGTAAGAAGACAATCTACATTAGCTGAATAGCAGAGTTGGAAGGGACCTTGGAAGCCGGAGACCTTAGAGCAGGGGTAGGCAACCGTGGCTCTTTTATGACTCGTGGACTTCAACTCCCAGAATTCCTGAGCCAGCCATGCTGAGGGAAAGGGAGAGGTTTCCAAGCTGAGCCACGCTGGCTCAGGAATTCTGGGAGTTGAAGTCCACGAGTCATAAAAGAGCCAGGTTGCCTACCCCTGCCCTAGAGTATTTCAGTCAAATGACTGTCCAGTCTCTTCTTAAAAACCTCCAATGATGGAGCACCCACAGCTTCAATCATGGGAAGAAAGGTTCTATAACATGTTCCACTATTGAATTGTTCTAACTGTCAAGCAATTTCTCCTTAGTTCTAGGTTGGTTCTCTCCTTGATTAGTTTCCATCCATTGTTTCTTGTCCTGCCTTCTGGTGCTTTGGACAATAGGTTGACCCCCCGCTTCTCTGTGGTAGCCTCTCAGATATTGGAAGTGCTATCATGTCACTTGGTCCTTCTTTTCACTGGACTAGACATACTGAATTCCTTCATCTGCTCTTCTTATGTTTTGGCCTCCTCTCCCCTAATCATCTTTGTTGCTCTTCTCTGTACTATTTCTAGCATCTCAGCATCTTCTTTACATTAACTAGGATCTACCTCAAAAGTCATCGAAGCCAAGATCAACACCCTCACACCTTGATGAAGATTGCAAGCCACACTAACAGTTTACCATGAGCAGAATACAGCCATAATACTGTGAAGCACAGGTATAACAGGCTCCACAGGTTACTTCTATCCCACACCTTAAACAGGAGTTTAATTCATGGCCAAACTTGAAGGCCTCTAGAATATGACAGTTAAGGCGTGCAGGCTGGAACACGAGCAGCACTGAGGATCCATGATTCCCTGAAAAACATGGTAGCCAGAGGTGATGGATCCTTTCATACAGATTGTGATGGATTAGGAGGTGCAACCAGGTGATGCAACACCTGGGAATATACGTGCCATGAGGTCTTATGAAACTGGGTAACCACCTACACCTGAGCTGTCCCAGGCACAATACAATAAAATTAAGATGGAGAGATTGCACACCTACCCGTTTTGCCGTTGGGTTCTCTGCAGGCTTCTGTGTTCCTAGGCAAACTGTTGTAAAGCCATTTCTGTCCCACAACTGTGTCTGTCCTTAGGGGTGGCTGGCTGTGAAGTATGGAATCGACTAGATAAAGGAGCAAGAAAGCGCCGTTTTTCTGTCTCTCACCAGCTTGTTCTGAAAGATGTGCCTCTGGCCTGCCATTTAGCTCAAGGGCTTCTTCTCAGAGAAGAATCTTCGCCCAACAGAACCTCCACAGACTAAGCCACGAAGAAGCCTAACTAACGCCAGATCTCCCTAAGTTGGTTTACCTGCTCCAAAGCATCAACACCTGGCTATCAAAACATTTTGAACCACCTCCTGGAATCTCTCCCTCTCTCTTCCCCCAACTCTGCCCATCGAAGCAGGAAGAAAGGATTACATCAGTCACCTAGATGTTTGAACTGGACTTGCGTGGGTGAAATTAGGCAGGAATACCACCTGGTTGCAACAACGCTGATATTTATTATGGCCGGGATGGTGATGATGGAAAGAAGGTGGCTCTCGCCAAGCTGATTGCATCATTTCAGACTCTTGCTTCAAAGATCCAAAGGATATCAACAGCATGGTTCATTAGCAGATTAATTAGGCGACTGCTTGGAGCCCAGAGATCACGTCTCCCCTGATCATGTTCATGTGAGGAAACTTGGCTGGCACGTCCAAGCCAGGGCAAAGAGATACCCCACAGAAGCTGGCAGAAGACCTGAGGGCTCCCAGGTCAGACAAGTTAGCAAATCATCACCCCTTCCACATCTCGCAGCTACAAGCCCATGGCTACATTCAGAACCTGGGAGCCCCTGAAAGTTTGTCCAGGCAACCAGAACAGATGCTCAAGCTAAAAAGAAAAGCTTGGAAGATGCAACCTCCCTCCCTCCAAGCTTCCAGCAAAGTCTCCCTTCTCTTTTCAAATGGAGGCAGCTGAGAACTTGCTTGGAAGTTCCCACCGCAAAATGTTTCCTGTTTCAGCCCCCTCTCCCTCCCCCAATAATTTATAGCTAACAGGCAAAACACAGCACTGATGATGTTACCTAGTTGGGTCATGAAACGTCTGCAGGGAAACCACCAAACTTAGAGAGCACCAAGAATCCCATAAAACACAGTCTGTTTCCAAGGGATCAACTTATCTGCCTCCTAGCTTTGGGTCTACTCTAGAGAATCGAGATTTTAAAGGGGGTTATTCAGGATCTCTGGCCTTGCTGGCTCGAAAGGACACAACAGTTCCCGAGGGCCTTGGCTAGAGGCCGGGAGCAGAGTGATTCCCAAGGGAAGGGTTCATTTCTCCTCTTTGATCCAACCCTTACAAGGGCATGGAGAAAAAAACATTCCGGCAGTAATCTCCCTCTTTAGGCAGCCTTTCAATTAGACAAACTATCAGAGCAGCTTTAATTCACTGCTCCTAAGAAGCCTCCTCCTCAGAGACTAACCCAGGATTTCAGCCGGCAGAGATGCAGCAATGGTCTTTCTCATCACTTCCATAAGGCCTCCCAAGTGTCTCCTGGTCTGGATGTAGCAAAGGGCAGGTTGTTCTGAGCTTCCACTGACTTGCTTGGGGGTCCCGGACGAGGCTGATTTGTCATTTGCAATCGATAAATAAGAAATCAAAACAGGAAGGCCCTCATACAGCCAGTGCTGCCTCTTGAAATGAAACCATCTTCTTTAACAATCCTGGCCCTGGGCTACCTCACTCCAAGCTCCCAAGACAAGTGGTTGCACCGTCCATCTTCGGTACCTGTCATCCCATGCAAGGAAGGAGCTCTAAGTATCCAACTTTAACGAACATCTGCAGAATCCCCAAGAAACTTTAAGTTGGGTCCATGCAAATCACTGACCTGGCCTGGACTCCTCGGAGGAAAACGACAGCTGTTCTCCTACTAAGGCTCCGGGAAGAAAGAACGGCCTGACTGAATGAAGAGCCCATGGTAAATAAACTCCGTCTTGGGCAAACATTATTAGCCGGTGGAAGAAACAGGATTGTCAAACCAGTTTTTGATGGAAAGTACCTAGGACGGCCTTCAACGTAGCAATTGCTCTGCTGTTTCTATCCAGCTGGAAGCCTCTTCTATGGCTCTAGTTTTCTCCTGCCAAAACCTGACTGGGAGGCCTAGAACGTGCTGGGCTAATAAAACAGGAGATTGTGTATGGAGGATGCACCTTCGGAACTTCCATGGTTGTAGGGACCTGATTTTTAACTCTACTTCTCCCAAGCTGGTTTTTGCAGGAAGAACTGCTGGGGACTTCCTATGGGGCTAAGAGGAGTTTGGAACCCCTGGCTTAAGAACTGAGATCGCTGCCTTGCCTGCCCTGTTGCTCCCTATGGGAGCTGGTGGGGAGAAGATTCTTCAGGCACCCCAGGCTAGCTGTAGGTAGAGGGAATCCTTGACTTACAACAGTGCATTTCGTGACTGTTCCAAGTTACAACGATGCTGGAAAAAAGGGACATGACCATTTTTCACACTTATGAACGTAGCTGCATCCCCAGTCACGTGGCTTACATTCGAATGCTTGACAACTGACTCACATTTACATTCGAATGCTTGACAACTGACTCATATTTAGTTGACGGTTGCTGTGTCCCGGAGTCAGCTGATCCCCTTTTGCAACCTTCTGACAAGCAAAAATCAATGGGGAAACCAGATTCGCTTAACAACTGTGTCGCTCATTTAAGAACTGAAAGTGTATTCACTTAACAAACGTGGTGAGAAAAGTCACAAAACGGGGCAACGCTCACTTAACAAGTTCCTCACTTAACGACGTGACCTTTGGGCTCAGTTGTGGTCGTGAGAACTGGCTGGACTTGTTTAATAGGCTTCCTGCCAGTTTGAAGAAGCCGCACTGAGCTTTTTCCACTCTCCCCGCCACAAGCCGGCGTCTCCTGCCTTTGCCGTGCCACTCGTTTAACCCACACAATTTTCACAGGCTCTGTCACCGATCGCCCGGCTGTGGATCACTGATCTGCTAAATGACGACAAGCCGGTTTAATAAGGGTTTTTATTCTGAGAGCAACCGGAAAAATGAGAGTCAGGCAGATTGCCCGTGTTTGGCAAGCAATTTGCAGAGGGCGCGAGGGCACCAAGGGGGATGTCTCCATCGCTCCCTGCTCTGAGCCCTCTGTATGCATCAAGGAGCAGCGGGCGAGTAGCAGATTGGGGCAGAATTACCCCGATGGCTTTTCGGAGATGATTTTAGTTCAGGTTCCTGTCCCGAGCAGAGACGTGAACTTCACCTCTTCCTCCTTGAAGATTCTATCTGGGCATTTCAATTATTCATCACTGTCTTGTTAAGGACCAAGGTGCTCGTGCATTTAAAAAGGACAGGTAGGGTCATTCCATTCCTATTTAGATTGCACGTGTTTGCTGTTTATAATGAGAAGAAGGAATGACCTTGAGGAACAGAAGGAAAAGCCACAACCCAAGATATTGGTCTGATAAAAGGAATCTTGAGTCCGGGGCAGAAACGTAACGCGAGAAAGCATGCAATATCTGTAGCTCAGGTGTAGGATGAGGGTGGAGAATTGTTCTCCAAGCTTGTGGGTTGGTTTCTGAATGTTGGAATTTTGGACCCATCGCAAGACCCTCACCTGATGTGACCCATCACAAGACCTATCATAAGACCCTCATCTGAACCATCACAAGGCCCCTCACAAAGGCCTCACCTGATGTGACCCACACCTGACCATCACAAGACCCTCACCTGATGTGATCCTCCCATCACTACTGACCACACAAAGCCCTTACAAGTAGAAGAACGCCAACACTGGCATTCCCTAAATTCCACTGAAGACATTATTTAGCCTGGTAATGAAACACTTGGAAACCAACCCTCCACACCATCTGAGACGGGACCTTCCCTGGGATTCATGACCTTCTGAATCTCAGTCCCAGCCCACCTTTCCCAGCTCCTTGTGCATCCCACGCCGGTTTTGAGGGACTTGGGCTTCATGGCCCTTTCTCTACATTGGAGAAGACACACGGGAAGGTAGGAGACGGGAGAGAAGGGAATACAGCTCGCCAACAAAAGATCTTGATTTCGTGCAAACATCTGCAGTAATAAATTTTAAAAAGTAGGCGGAGGAGAGAGAGGAGAGATGAGGAAAGCCCAAAAAATGCAGACTGATCTGAAAAAAAGAGCAAGACAGTTCGAGAGGCAAGAAAAGAGAACGTGTTCTCTGCCTTGGAGGAAGGCACTTGCAAATTCAGCTGGACTGGTTGAAACATCCCTGCCCACCTGCCCTTAACTCTTGACCCACGTGTCCTTCTGGTCTGGCCAGGGCTCCACTTTCAGCAAAGTCAACTCATTGTGAACTCTGTCTTGCTTTTTTGTGGTGGCGAAAGAGGCACCATTAGATGAACTCAGTAGGGAAGGAAGAGAGAACGACGCGTGTGAATGAGAGAGATTAAAAGTTTCCTGGAGGCAAGAGTACCACCTGTAAAGCTCTCTGCAGACCGAGATCTTAAATGACGGGGGACTTGAGCTCAGAAAGGACCCAGGGAGATTTGCAAAAATATTAAAAGTCCCCCCCCCGTGATGACAAGATCAGCCCCTTCCCTTTAAAATACACAGACATGCAACCCCACAAAGGAAGCCTCCTCTTAAAATAAAACCCCCAAACACTTCCAAAGTCAGTTTCTTGGAAGCCCCCTCCCACCCCCCAGAGAGATTTCTTCCTTGGCTAGCTCTTGGGGAGGGTGATCAGGTGAGCTAACTTTCCCCCCTCCAGATAATTGTCATTCCCCCCCCTCTCTTTCACCACATGCATAATCTGGCCCTATGGATCCGCCAGTGGAGCAGAACTAATGGGAAGACCCTGAGGGCTACACATTTCCCTCCCAGCGCAGCAGCTCCCCTGCACTCCCCCTCCCACTCTCCCTTTTATGCAAAGAAGTCAAATTTCTCATTCTGATGCAATAAGCCGGCTCAGTTAATAAATGGCTAATGCATCTGTGAAGGATGCAAGGATGGGAAACAGCCATGCACAGAAAGAGAGAGAGAGAGAGAGAGAGAGAGAGAGAGAGAGAGAGAAAGAGAGAGACTGGGCAGGGATCCAGGCTCCATCATTCCCACCCCCCCAACCCCCTCCATTGCCCCCTTTGCAGATAAGAAAGGGGAGGGGCCATCCGAGGCCCATTGTTCTAATTGAAAGGGAGGGGGGGGGGACTTGCCCAGCAGATGGCAGGTATAACAAAGCAGCTTGCTGTGGCCAAACCAATTATTTATCTAATTATGATTTACTACTTAACCACATGATCTTTCCGCAGAGTTGTGGGCAATTAAAACCGGGGTGATTATGTGGATTATGTAAATCAGGCTGGAGCTCTAACGAATAAAATTGGAGATTAGACATTCGCCCAGGCTTTAGCTGGCACAGGGGATGAAAAGAGAAGACGGAAGGGGGGGGGCAAAGGAAGGGGCAAGAAAGAGCAAAGGCAGGGGACCCAGGGTGGGCTGGGGCTGGGGGTCGGTTCTGTCAAGGGCTGCCTCAAGGGGAGGGCACAATCAAGCCAAAACTCCAGGAGGCCTACGCTCTGCGCCTTGCCTTTTCGCAAAAGCCTTCTGCAAGCTCACAAGCCATGCGCCTCCCGCCTCGGTCTGACTTGGCCGGGGCTTGGAGAGGTTCAGAGAGACGTTACCCCCCCCCAGGAGGTCTCTGAGCAGGCCATCTGCCGAGGTCAGAGCTGTCCACCCCTCCTTTTCGGACTTGCCAATCCTTTAGGGAAGTGTCTCGCAGCCTCCCCCAGGCCACTCTTGTGTTGGCTGGCAAATCCACAGGGCCATCAGGAGAACATTGGGTGGTGGAGGTCTGGATCTCCTTCTGCTTGCTCCTGTGCCCTCCTCCTCTCTTCTCTGGTTACTCCACGTGAGCCTGGATCCTCTCCATCCAGAGTTTGAGCCCTCTAAGATTGGCTCTGCACATGCCTGGACACATATCCAGCACAGATTTTAAAAATGCATACATAGAACAGCAGGGAGTACCCCAGGACCTGGAAAGAGCACCCGAGTCTGGAATGCTTACCCCAGGGATGGTGAACCTTTTGGAGACCGAGTGCCCCAAAACTGGCCATGCCCCCGCTCCACCCCCTGACCTGTCCCCACCCTGCCTGTCTGCAGGACCACTCACTGCCTCCAGGGCCCGCCGCAGATCACCCAGACAGCCCAGCAGCACCATTGCGGCCATGCCCTCTGCCCATGCCCTGCAGCATCAACTGTGCATGATGGGGTGTGAGGGCAGAGTCTTGTCTACGCTGCCTGGCTGCCCTGTCCTTGGCTGCGCTGCTCCACGTGGGCCACGCTCGGGGGCGACTCTCCTCCAGGGGGGCTGCTGGTGAGGAGGGAATCACGGGAGGAGACAAGGCTGGGGCAACGGCACGTGTGCCCACAGAGAGGGCTCCGAATGTCGCCTCTGGCACGTGTGCCATAGGTTTGCCACCACTGGCTTACCCCATCTCTGCACAGGAATGCCAGACCGACAGGATGGAGATCTACAAGGCACCCATTGGGGATGGAGAGGCTGTGCCTACTGAACGACAATCGGGAGCCCAGCTGGAAGAGGCAGAAAAATAGAGGGCAGGTGCACGCTTATAAGTGCTAACACACCTACGTGCAATGGTGGGGCTTTGACAAAGGAAGCAGCAGCTTCTGTGCCGGTAACTCACCTGCAAAACAGAGGTGCAGGTAACACTCCTGTTGGCCCAAAAAGCCCTGGACTGTCCTGAAATACTCAGGGGGCACAAAAGAAATGGGAGATAGCATCTGCCCCATGGCAGACACGGGTGTCTTCTCTCCCATCCCCACATCTTTGCCCCCCACCTTTGGTTGCATCGGGAAGCTCTTGCTCAAATTCCCGGTCCCCACCAAGCGCTTACTGAGAAGGGTGGGGTGTGTGGTTAAAGGCGCCTGGCAGACTGCGTTGACTGCCTGAGTTGATAGGAGATTTATGTGTCACGAGAAGGGGGGGGGAATGGGAGTATTAATGATAACGTTGCCTGTCCTAGCAAAGATCAGCGGCAATCTCTATCAATCTCGCCAACAGAGGGTGAACAGGGCAGCAATGAAAGACCTGTTAATCACCTGGTTTGGGAAGGGAGAGGAGGAGGAGCTGGTCAGCCAAGATAGAGATTTGATCTTGACCAGGGAAGGGGGCAGAATTTAACAGGATAACAGAGTTGGAAGGGACCTTGGAGATCTTCTAGCCCAGCGGTTCTCCACCTGTGGGTCGGGACCCCATTTGGGGTCGAACGACCATTTCACGGGGGTCACCAAACAACGCAGTCCGCCATTTTTTTTCCCTTTTCCTTAGCTGTGCTACTCCCTTTTATTCTATTGGGTCTTGAAAGCCAATAGAATAGACTCTCTTGAATAGAGTCTAATTCTATTGGCTTTCAAAAGCCAATAGGAATTGTCCAGGCTGTCTCTGCCCTGCTGAGCCCGCCAAAAGTCCCATTCTGCAAACGGTGCTGCACCAGTTGAGTAGTCCTCGACTTACGACCGGTTGAGTAGTCCTCGACTCACGACCGGTTGGGGGTCGCGGCATTAAAAAGGTTGAGAACCACTGTACTAGTCCAACCCTCTGCTCAAGCAGGAAACCCTATACCGTTTCAGACAAATGGCTGTCCAGTTTCTTCTTAAAAGTCTTCAGTGATGACACAACCACAACTTCCGCTCCACTGTTTATTTGTTCTGTCAGGAAATTTCTTCTTAGTCCCAGGTTGCTTCTCTCTTATTGACCACCCCTGCTATCATGTCACAACCTCCGATGCAATGTGAGAATCTGGAGAATCTGAACAGCTTGCTCCTGTTTCGGGACACCTACAGGGGGTGGTGGTGGTAAAGAGCTGATCAGAGAAGGACCCCACAATAGAGGAACGTCCTCCATTCCCTTGGACTGAACTGCAATGCTTCTTATTTTACAGCCTGCCTGCCCAACAGAGCCTTGCATTCAGCCCACCATGCTTTCCGCTGTTGAGACAAGCCCTGCCCGTAGCGGCTGGGAAGGATGGGAGTTGCATTCCAATCTACCTGATGGGCCTGGCTCTTCAAGCCCTGAAGCAAAAAGGGAGGCCGTTCCCAAATTTTGACTGCCACGTTCATAGAAATTCAGGACGCAAGTCACAGCGCTGGAGGTGATAATAGTGTCTGTCGAGAGGCTGAAATCTTTCTTTACGCAAAGCAGTTTTGCTACCGTGCCACTGTCCTTCTCAAGAGGGATGTGGGAATGCCAAGAAGGAATGTCGGGCCTTGGGAAGGAGGAAGGAATGAGCAAAGATTGAAGGGAGGGGCTTCCAGGAAAGATTGCTCAGTCTTGTGAATGACCAAAGCGTGAGAAAGGAATTCTAAATAACCCCGCCTTGATTTTGCTTGGTATAATAACTTGTTTGAGCTGTGGTGCCGGAAAAGGCTCCTGCGTATTCCTTGGACAGCAAAGGTGACAAACAAGCAACAAACAACACCAGGCATGTCACTAGAAGGCAAGATCACAAAACTGCGATCTCACTTAATTTGGCCACCATGTCATGTGGGGGGGGGGGATGAATTCACTAGAGAAGCAATTGTGCTTGGAAGAGTTAGCAGTAAAAGGAAACCAGGTCCTCAAAGAACAGAATCAGAATAGAGCTGGAAGGGACCTTGGAGGTCTTCTAGTCCAGCCCCCTGCTCAAGCATGAGCACCTATACCATTTCAGACAAGTGGCTGTCCAGTCTCTTCTTAAAAACACGGTGGCTGGACACCATCGAAACTGTCACCAGCCAGAGCAGAGAACCACTCAAAGAAGTCGCGCAAGATCGGAAGATGTGGAGAGACCAGAGAAATGCCAAGAATCGGACACGGGGAAATTTGGACATGCTTTCGAGGCTCCCTAAAGCAGTCGAGAGCATTCCTAACCTATTTGCCATGCCTGTTTCTTGAGCGCATCTCCCTTGCAAGCCTGACGCACTGCCCTGCAGGGTAGGCTCAAGCAGGAATCCGGGTTAAGATCCAGAACTCTGCAGACTGGATGCCTCTCGGCGGAATCCGCTTCCTCCTGGCTCCCCAGCAGGAATGATAAAGTGACTTTCCCCCCCACTTTTGCTCTGAGGAAACTATGAGTCATCAACACCGCTTTTCTGGAGAATTAATTCCAGAATCCAGTTGTGTATTCAATCCCTGCCTCTGGCTCTTTGTAGTTGCTCAGATGGAACAGCTATGCCCAGGTAGTCCTCGCTTAGTGACCGTTCAAAGTTGCAACAGCACTGGAAAAAGTGACCGATGGCCATTTTTTGCATTTACGACCATTGAAGCAGCCCCATGGTCATTCAGACACTGGGCAAGTGACTCATATTTATGATGGTTGCAGTGTCCCAGGGTCACGTGATCCCCTTCTGCGGCCTTCTGACCTTCTGAACGGGGAAACCAGATTGACTTAACAACCGTGTTCCTAACTTAAGAATTGCAGTGATTCACTTAAGAACTGTGGCAAGAAAGGGCGTAAAATGGAGCACAGCTCCCTTATCAATTGTCCCACTTAGCAATTGAAATCTTGGGTTTAACTGCGGTCCTAAAT